TGGGCTGGGGGGCACGGGCAGAGCTGCAGGGAGTGGAGGGGGCTGCAGGGCGGGTATGGGGGGCACGGGCAGAGCTGGCGGGGCTGCGGGCTGCAGGGCGGGCATGGACAGAGCTGGGGAGGCCGGCGGCTGCAGGGCGGGCGTGGGGGGCGTCTCACCAGCGGGTCAGGGCGTCCTGGATGGCGTTGGTGAGCGCGTGGCCCAGGTGCAGCGAGCCGGTGACGTTGGGGGGCGGGATGCACATCATGAAGAGCCCTTTGGGGTTCGGCTCCGAGACGCGCTGCCGCTGGGGGAAGAAGGGGGAGAGTCAGACTGTGTGTCAGAACCCCGCACTGCCCCCGGAGGGCGAGTCCCTGCGAGCACACGAGGGCGGTAGTCGGAGCCCCGGTGCGGAGACTCGGGAGGCCCAGGCTGGTTCCGGTTCGGCAGCACCCGAAATAACCCCACACCTGGGTGTAGGTGTGTCAGCGTCCCCTGCTGGAGGGGCCCTGCCCTGGGTGTGCGGGAGAGCTCGCCCCCTGCTGGCTCACCCAGAACCACCTCACCATGTGCCTTATCCCGCCTACTGCTCCCACCCACAGGGGCGATTCCTGTTATCTGGGGCCACTCGATTCCAGCCTCGGCCCCCGCCCGGCCCCCACTCACCCCGTACTCGGGTTTGAAGAAGCCCTGGCTTTCCCACCACGGGTACCAGGCTGCCTCCACGTACTGCGGGCTGTAGGCGTCGGGCATGGGGCCGGTCACGTCTGCAGGGGAAGGACAGAGAGCCCTGAGCAGGGACCCCCAGGGTCCTGATCCGCCCCGTCCCCATGCACTGGGAGGGAGGGGCCCACAGCAGAGCAGTGATTGGAGACGAACAGGCAAACGTCTCTCCCTGTTAACCAGCCAGTGATCGGTGAGCCGTCGTCGTCAGCCAACCCGGCTCCAGGATCCGGAGCCCGGAAAGTTCAGCATGAGCATTGTCCAGATTTCTAAAGCAGATCTGTCAGTCCGGCCGTTCGTCTGTTTGTCCACCCCTGGACCAACCAACCCCCCCAATCCATCCCCCCAACAACCCAACCATCCACACCATCAATCCACTCAACAACCTCCCCGTCCCCAGACCCAACCAGCCCCCCAACAACCCAACCATCCACACCATCAATCCACTCAACAACCTCCCCGTCCCCAGACCCAACCAGCCCCCCAACAACCCAACC